GGGGTCCCAGAAGGTCCGGGGTCCAAGCACCGCCCACAACCCCGCCCCCAGGTCCCGGCGCTGCCGCCGTCCTCGCCGCTCAGACGATCCGCTTCTTCGTCCGCTCGCCCGGCAGCTTTCACGTAAACCGTTCTCAACTCCCCGCTTCCGACATAAGCGGCCGCGCATCTCTAATTCTGTACCCAGCCAGGCGCCAAAGGGCACTGGACACGTTCAAAGGATCCAACTAAGAAGCAGAGCCTGCGGGGAGTGAAGGGGAACCGACCAGAAACTTCCACGGAGGGTCTGAGGGCCGGAGGCGGCGCCCGCAGGCTGAGCCCCACCCTCTTCACCGTCCCCACCCACCGAACGTCCGAGCCCCGCCCCCAGCGGCCCCGCCCCTGAGCCGCCCTGGTGCGCGTGCGCGCACGCACTTGCAGACCCGGAAGCCGGTCCCGCGGAACAACGGACGTGCTCGGGCGAGTGAGTGTCGGTTTTTCTGGTGAGTACGGTGTGCAGGCTTCAGGCCCCGCTTCTCCACACGCCGGGTTTCTGGGGCCTCCCGGTAAGTGAAAACTCCTGAGCGCGCTCGTCGCTTTCGATCTGAGTCCGTCCCTTCCGCCTCTCGCGGCTTCGCCAGAAGACTCAGTTCGGTCCCTGGAGTCTGAGTCCGAGTCCGGGTAAACCCGCTGTGAGGCAGGCACGGGCCCCAACTTTCTGCCTGCGGTGCTTATAGACGTTGACCTCGTGCAGCGATGTTTTCCTGCTCTGGGCTGCCTTCCTCCCCTTCTCAAACCTTTCTCTGACTTCCGACTTCCCCAGCCCTTTTCCCGCCACCTCCGCCCAGTTCCATTGTGCAGAGTTTTCCCTCAGGAGGTGGGTGTGCGCCCTTCACCTCTGAAGAGAGCAGAGGGGGAACCGAGAGGCAGAAATAGATGCCGTTTAGTGAGGCATCAGAAAGTCTGGGGAGAAAGAACCGCAAGGATTGAAACAGATACTAACAGAATGGGGCCAGTTTGTAGGAGGAGGAATGAGAGGGAGGGAAACCGAATGATGTGTAGAAAAAAGAAGAGGAAGCACAGAAATGAACAGAAGGAGAAGAAACGGAGAGAGAGACATATACAGAAAACAGAGTGCATAGTGGTGGAGAAAACAGAGGACCCACACTCTGGTGAGTATTGAGTGGTTTGGATGTGGAATATTAAGTTCTAAAGTACTAACTTGCGGCTTATAACCTAATTAATGTCAAGTTTGTTGACTTGTTTAAATAATGCAGAAAAGATGAGAGTTGCAAAAACCAGATGATTACATCATTGATAATTCCACTTGCGATCCCTGTTCATCCAGAGTGCAGAGATTTAGCTCAGTCAATTCCAGTTCCTACTCTTACCTTTAAAAATAAGTAGAAGAACAATTTCTTTCACTGCATGGTGCTTTTTAAGACGGCCATTATTAACGGTTCTGTTCCCCTCTCCCCCTTTCTTCTGTGGTTCCTGTCTGTCTTTTCTAAATTTGATGTATCCTCACACTTGTTCTAACTTCAATCTCAGAACTCATTGGATAGTTCTTAAATTTCCAAATTATTCTTCCTCTAAATTTTATTGTTTAGATTATGAGGTTTATACACTTTCTACTGTATCCTGTATTGGAACTATTCTTTGCTGTCTGGCAAATAGCTTTACAGCACTTCACTATGCATGTGATAAGGATGTTGTGATCTTTTAACATTCAAGACCTTATTTAACCAGTTAGTTTAGTATTCAACTGCTTGTTTCTTCCCTTAAGTTATCTGCTAAATCAGTGAGCTCTGAGCTGAAGTCTCCAGCTAAGATGATGTTCCCCTCAAGTCTCCTCTGTCCTTTCTGTGCAGATGTTGAAGGATGGGCTGGATTGATGTGGAACTTTGTTCCAGCAGAGCCCGTGTGTTTACAATGAAGAGATTGCTCAGAGCTTATCTTCACACGTGACCTTCTTTCGTATTTTCCTGGAGTAATAACTATTTATAATTTCATATTTTTTATTCTTTTTTTTTCTAGAGGAGAGGAATTAAATGTTTGGGTTTGATTAAACCATCAAACAAGAAGCCTCTCTTGCTCGGGAGTATGAAAGATAATCTGGAATTAGGACAAACTCTTTCTGCTTAAACCTAGTCAGGCCACCACTTACACCCAGTTCTGCTCACCCAGGTCAGACTTCTTCAAAGTAAACTTGGCAAAATTACTTGCCCTGTGAGTCTGATATGCCACCTGTAACATGGAGAAGTTAAAGTAGACCAGGTTTTCTGAGTCTGTGCAACTGGGATCCCTGAAATGATCTTCAGAATTGGTCTTGTGTTTGCATTTGGCAGTTTTGTGGGATGGGTGCCCAGTTAGAATTTGAAATGTGCCCCAGTCCTCCAGTGATAATGCAGACCGCTAAGAAAGAGGCAGGAGCGTAAGCTCAAAGAAAGGGGCATGCTGCTCTCTGAGCTTGTCTTTCTCAATTTCTGTATCATGGGCCAAAGCTTTTTTCTTCTTTTCTTTTTGACTTGTCTTGCTTGTAATGTTTGCAAACATCAGATCGCTATGTAGTATGCCCAGAAGTAACCTAGTATTTGTACATCAACAATACTTCAACATAAGAGGGGGGAAAAAGCTAATGTAATTTTAGAATGCATTGCTGTAAATACAGCATTGGATACCAACAGCATAAAAGCAGATGATTGTCCTCCATCTCTTCAGTAGAATATTATGGTTTGGAATTTAGGCCAAATTTTAGGCCAAAGGAGGAACCTTTGACAAAGTAGAATGCTGTATGAGAGAGCAGAACTGAGCCAAAGGACCTGAGACAACTTTTTGAATAACTGTTGAATTACAGTCTTCACATAAGCATTGGAGCATCATAACTGAGTGCAAAAAACACATTCATTGGTTTGTGATGTTTGTCGTAAAACAATGCAGGGTATGTTTTACTGAAGGCAGAGATTATGAAGAAAAGGTTAGGCCGTGTTTTTGTGGAAACGTGTAATGGTGGATGTGTCGCTGTATGTGTTCATACTAATCAGTGTGTCAACCAGAGTATGAGTGGATAGGTGCTGCAGTCAAACCGAGAAAACTTCCTACTCTGATTATAGTGAGGAGGCTAAGAAGGCTCCTGGTTGAGGTTAGAAAAGACCTCATCAATATTGACTGTCCTCGCTCCTTTGGTATTATGTCCACATATTTAAGGACCTGGTTCCAGTCCCACAACTGGCATCAAATCCACCTTTTAAATACTGCTGCAAGTTGCACCAGTGGGTATGCTGGGAGCCAGTTTGTACCTTCTGGTGTATAGACAGATTTTAGCACTAGTGATCCAGTAGCAAATTAGTAAAATGACATTCATAATAAAAGGATATTGCTGTGAAAGTAATATTACTATAAGCACAGTGACGTCAGCCAACCAGTGTTTGCTTACCTCTGCTTCTGCTGTTACGCTGTTCACTCTCAACAGCCTGTTCCTAATAAGATATTGAAACATGAGAATATTTCTAATTTCCTCAATAGTTACATTTTTCTCAAGTGTTAATGATTGAGTCTTTCCACTCAAACCTATTGTTTCAAGTGGCCTAAAAGTGGACCCTACTTTTGATGGGGAGCTGGGTAAGCCAAGCAAGGAAGTCAAGTTACTATAAGGAAGGCTTTCAAATTATGTTCAGAAGAGAACTCAGGAGATCGTTGCCAGCATATGGAATGGAGTGCAGACTACCAGAATGGAAGATGTGTTTCCTTTTACACAGAGCTTGCATTCTTTTAAGGAAAATGGATATGTGGATATTTTAAAACATATCTTGTGAGATAATAGAAGCAGGTGTAAACTGCAGAGGTGAATAATTCTATCTGGATGGGATAAAATTGGACCATTTAAGGGAAGAGAATTGGGAGAGGCAACTCTTACAGCCATTTTAGTTTAGTTTATTTTTATTATTCAAGTTGAATTTTAAATAGTTTGTACTAGTTCACCAGCTAATAGAGGAGAAGCAGCATTCCAAAATGAAGAAAGTAAGTGTGTTATTGGTGTGAAGAGATTATTAGCACCTTTTAATGTTGCTTCGATGCAAAGTATGAAGCAGAGAGTGAAAGGAATGCAGCTGGAGGCAAAAGCAAGGGTCATGTCACGAGGGGACTTATGACAGAGTCTCTCTTAAGGAGCTTTATTTGCTCCTGTGGACATGAAGAGGTCATTGAGAGGCTAAAAGCAAGGTGCTAATAAATCATTGTCACATTTTGGATAGTGAACTGTCATAAGGTTCTCCCTGTGTGTATACTTGTGGCAGGGGAAGGAGGCATGTCGATTCTAAGCATTAAACAACATATTTTTATCGCACAGAATAATCTTACCTGAGAAAGAAGCTCAGAGGAAGTGGAAAGAAAGAAGGAATGGCGTTTTCCCAGGTAGAAGGCATACTCTTCATTGATTGTTCTGTTCTCTCCTTCCTAAAACGGCTCATTTTGGACTTGTTACATTTCTCAGTCTCTGAAGTTTCCTGTCTAAAATATTTACTCTTACACGGGGCCTTCCCTCAATCTCCTCTCATCTCCCTGCAGATTCTACCTCACGGTGACCCAGTGACATGGAACTTGGAAAGAGTCCCCTTTTAGGTGATCATCCTGTGGAGGGTTTTATACTCAGACACAGATTGGAGATGCTGGGGAGTAGGCTCTGTGGTGTCAGTGAGGTAGGGCAGTGAGGACTGTTGAGAGAATGCTCTGTCAGCTCTCTAGAAACCAGGATCACAGAGACTACATATGTAGGTGATGTGTTAATGTGTGCAAATATCAGAGGAGGTCTGGAAAGGAAAACTGATACAGAGAAACTTGCCTCATCACATTTTATAAATGCATTGGAAGTTAAAGAAGTAAATCATTGAGGGGAGGGTATAGTACAGTGGTAGAGTGCATTCCTAGCATGTACGAGATCCTGGGCTCAGTACCCCGTTCCTCTGTTAAGAAAGAAAGAACGAAAGAAAGAGAGAGGGAGGGAGGAGGAAGAAAGAAAGAAAGAGAGAGAGAGAGGAGGGAGGGAGGAAGGAAGAAAGAAAAGAGAGAGAGGGAGGGAAGAAGGAAGGAAGGAAGGAAGAAAAGAAAGAAAAGAGAAAGAGAGAGGGAGTGAGGGAGGGAGGAAGGAAAGCAAAAGAGAGAGAGAGAAAGAAAGAAACTTAATTACCTCTCCCATAAAAATCTTTTAAACAACTTTTTCTCTTTTAAAAAGAAGTGAATCATTGTATTTCTGACTCTAAAATATCAGTACTCAAGAATAAAGTGGGAAGGTCCAAAATAGAAATGAGATATAGAGAGTTTTATTACCTAGTTAGTTTTTAAAAGTAGACTCAACTTAATTGTCTAACAGGAAGGGTCCTTTAAATTATTCACGCCACATCCATCTCACAAAGACCCAGGTGTTCACATAGGGATTCTCATGCAGCAGATGGTTTTTGATAAAAATGATTATAATTTAGCCAAGGCACAGGAGCAGAACTTTCTGCCGTCAAAGAGCCTGGAGCCACATTCTGATTCTACTCATTGTTGTTCAGTGTTATATGTTTTGTACTGACCTTCTTGTGTATGTGTATTTGTGGTTCAGCTCCACCCAGTGATGCAGTTTAGAAAATAAGTAAAATATCCCCTTCCCTGTCTTCCACCGTCACTTACTGTCTCCACCAGGAACAACTGTTAGTTCTCGGCACAAATCCATTAAAAGGCATTTTTTTAAATTGAAGTTCAGTCAGTTACATTGTGTCTATATCTGATATCTGGTGTACAGTAAAATATCCCAGTCATGCATATATGTACATATATTCATTTTCATTTCTTTTCCATTAAAGGTTATTACAAGGTATTCAACATAGTTCCCTATGCTGTACAAAAGAAACTTTTTTTAAAATCTATTTTTATATATAGTGGCTAACATTTGCAAATCTCAAACTTCCAAATTTATCCCTGCCTACCCTCTTTCCCCGGTAACTATAAGATTGTTTACTAAGTCTGCAAGTCTGTTTCTGTTTTGTAGATGAGTTCATAGTGTCCCTTTTTTTTTTTGAGATACCACATATGATTGATATTTAAAATACATATATACATTGAAGTGATTTTAGAACATATTTTTCAGTACATGTTTGTGTATTTTATTCTGCAAATTTAAATATTTACATGCCATATGTGTTAGAGTTATTTTCATAGTAGTAAATATACAGATAACTGTTCTTTAGATCCTTATTGGAGGATTCTCTCAATGCTCTCAAACGGGTTTTTCACATTTTTTACTGTTATAAAAAATGCCTTAGTGGCTACTTTTCATTAGGCCAACTTCAGTATAGGTGTCTAAGGATTTCTCCAGAATGGGCAACCTGAGCACGATTACTGTATTAATGATGCTGTTTCAGAAGAACAGACGTTACAAGTACTAAGTAAAGATTATAAATCAACTGTCTTAAATGTACTGAGAGAGCTACAGGAAACCAAGGACAAAGACTAAAGGAAAGTCAGAGAACAATGTTTCAACAAATGGAAAATACCCGTAAAGAGATAGGTATTAACACAAAAGAGAAGAAATAGAAATTCTGGGGCCAAAAAGTGCCATAACTGAATTTGAAAATTCATTACAGGGTTTCAACAGCAGATTGACAATCAGAATAAAGAGTCAGTGAACGTAAACATACTTAATTGGAATTATCCAGTCTGAGCAGAAGAAGAGTAGAAAAAAAGAAGAATGAACAGAAACTAAGAAATATTTGGGACACTATCAAAAACACCAATATACACGTAATAGGAGACCCAGAAAGAAAGGAGAAAGGGCAGAAAGAATATTTGAAGAAGGAAGAGCAGAAAGCCTCACAAATTTATTTAGAACATGAAGCTACAAATCTAAGAAACTCAACAGACTTCAGATGTGATAAACACAGAGAGAGCCTGGCCAAGACATATAACCAACGACAAAGACAAGAAGAGAGTGGGAAAAGTAGCAAAACAGAAACAACTTCCCGTGTACAGGGTCCTCAAGAAGATTAACAGCCTGTTTCTCATCAGAAGCTGTGGAGGCCAGAAAGGAGTCTGATGATATGCTTAAAGTTTGAAAGGTTAAAAAAAAAAACTACCAGGAATTCATTATCGGGGAAACTATGCCTTAAAATTGGTAATGAAATTTAGAGACATCTATGACAGCTATGTAAACAAAACCTGAAGGAATTCACACTGCCTCACTTATCCTACTTGAAATTCTAAATGGAGATCTTCAGGCTGAAATGAAAGGTTATTAGCAGTACCTCAAAGCCGCAGGGGCAAATAAAGAACTGTGGGGATGTAACTATATAGGCATATATAAAAGACAGTATTATTGTATTTTTAGTTTTTAACTCATTTTTTCCTTAGTGACTTGAGGCAGATGTGTAAAAGTCATTATAAATCTGTTATTGAATACAAAATGTATAAAGAAATAATTTTTGACAACAATATGGGGGGGGCAGTATAGGAGCAGTTGTATGCTGTTAAAGCTAAGTGAGTATCAGCTGGAGCACAAATAATATCAGTTTAATATGTAAACTGTAATTCCCAAGGTAACCACTAAGAAAATAATTTTAAAATATACAGAAAAGTATATATGAAGGGAATCTGAATGTTATACACACAAAGGAATACACAGAAGGAAGCAAGGGTGGAATTACAAAACAGAGAAAATGCTAGACATTTAGAAATTGAATAGCTAAATGGCAGAAGTGATTCTTTCCTTGTTTAGAGTTACTTTAAATGTAAATAGGTTAAACTTTACATTAAAAGACATCAACTGCAAGGTTTTTTTTTAAAGATTCTACTGAATCTTTCTACAAAACACTCACTTTACGATACTCAAATAGGAATGAAATGAAATGAAATACTCAAATAGAAGTGAAAGGATAGAAAAAGATATTCCATGGAAGTAGTAACCAATCCTAGCTGTACTCATATCAGATTGAATAAACTTTAAATCATAAAATGGTTACCAGAGATTTTTAAGGACATTATACATCAATTGATCCAGTTGGTTAATCCATCAATAAGATGAAACAGCCAAAAGCAATAAGCACGTAACAACTAAGCCCCAAGTATTTTGAAGCAAAAACTGAGGAGAGATGGACAGTTCAGCTCTCGTAGTTGGAGACCTCAGTACTCCCCTTTTAGTAGTGGGTGGAACAACCAGACAGAATGTTATTCAGCCATAAAAAAGGAATGCAGTACTGATAAGTGCTACATCATGGGTGAACCAGAAACACTCAGTGAAAGAAACCACACTGAAAAGCTCACATCTCGTACTATTCCGTTTATATGAAAATAATCACAAGTCGGTAAATGCGTAATGACAGTAAGCACTAGTGTCCAGGGACTGGGCACAAAGAGGAATGGGAAGTGACTGCGTAAGGGGTGGATTTCCTTCAGTGATGTTAAAAATGTTTTTGAACTAGAGTTGATGCTGTGCAGTATTGTGAATGTACTAAATGCCACTGAATGGTACCTTAAAATAGCTAACTTTATGTTAACATGAATTTTACCTCAGTTAAAAAGAATTAGAGAAATATAACTTGCTCAGAATTATCTTATGGATTAACCAGAACATTCACTGCAGCCCAGTCAACCCTTATACACATCAGTTTATGTAAGTTTGTGTCAAACTCAGAACTCTCCTTGCCCACGTCGTGAAATGCACTTTGTTTTCAGGGACTATTTACACTCAAGGACGTGGCCATCGAGTTCTCCCAGGAGGAGTGGGAGTGCCTGGTCCCTGCTCAGAGGGCCTTGTACAGGGACATGATGTTGGAGACCTGCAGGAACCTGCTCTCCCTGGGTGAGGAGAACGTCCCTCCGGAAGTCGGTAACTACTCTTGTCCATCTTTGCATGTTCCCTTGTGAGTCTTTTGCAAGCCCCTGGCGTGCTTGTGACAGTTTCAAATCCCTGTTCTTAAGAGAGTGGTTGAAGTTGTTTTGATTCAGATTGAAAGGCTGAAAGGCTTTATAACATGATTTCAGACTCTGACTTCCCTTTCTTCAGAAGTTCTGCATCCATGCTCATTAGTTGTGCTTACGGAACAGTAGCAGTCAGAAAGCCTTACGGCAAATTTTTAAAAATACCTCATTCTCTGATTTTTACCTTTGTACTTTTGATTCAGTAGTTTTTAGAAGAGAGCTAGATATTTACGTACTTAAAATAATCTAAGCATTCAGCAGGCAGGCAGTTGACTGATTTTTATTATACAGTTCTAGACCCCTCTGCAATTTTCTTTCTTCTTGGCTGAACAAAGCTGAGGGAGCTTCTGATGCCAGCATTTTTTATGTCTGCTGTAATTTGTTTAAACCACTGGTACTTTTACTTTCATCTTGCAAATTTCATTGTTATAAATGACCTTTTTCTTTATTTTATCATTAATTCATATTTTTGATGAACTTTTTAGTGTTCTTTGTTGTATAGCTACAATTTGGGCTGTGGAGTCATGGAATGAATATTGATTTTTATATTTTACAGGATGTCTTTCTTGAGCGTTTATTACGTGACATTTGTTTCCCCAAAACCTACGTAATCTCTTGAAATTTTTGAAAAGATAGTCTAAGTCACTCCTTTTACTCTGTTTTTTTAATTACTTAGTACTGACTATTAACACATACACCTTCCCTTTAATAGACTTTTTCTAAGCAGCTGTAGATTCACGGAAAAACTGAATGGAAGTTACAGAGATTTCCCATGTATTTTCTACCCCAGTCATGCAGACTTTGCCCCATTATCAACATCCCACACAAGAGGGGTATATTTGTTACCACTGATGAACCTGCATTGACACAAGCTAACCCCTCCGAGTACATGTTTACATTAGAGTTCACTCTTGCTGTTGTACATTCCGTGGGCTTGGACAAATGTATAGTGACATGTATGCTCATACTCATGGTATAGTTTACATAGAGTGAGTCAGTATTATGCCTCTTGCTAAACCAGTTCTCTTTTCCAAGGTCAGCCCCTTAACTGCTGTAGCACAATCAGATTTTCATAGATTCGCAAGTACAAGCACTGCTCCCACATTGCCCATTACTCTTGCTTTATTAAATCCCAGCCCCAGCATTCCCTCAGATTTTTATTGATCTAACTATTCTGGTACCTCCCAGAAGTATATTAATTTTGAGCCCCTAGGCTCCCCATTTTTGGCAGGACTTGCCCCCTTCCCACACTGTACACACTGCAAAAGGAAAGACCCCTACTGTGCACAGTACAGCTTGCTCAGATCAGCAGCAGGATCTGGTGACTGTGTACATCAACGTGTGCAGGACACGATGATGTGTACTGTTATCTGGGAATGGTGAGACAGTCACACTGTACGTAACACAACAGTGACACAACTCAGGTTCTATATCTCTCTTGAAACGTTTCTTTGTAGGCTTCTGGTGTTTATTGAGACCTGTCGTAGTCTGCACTGCCCAGATGGACAGTGGTGCTTAATGCTTGTGAATGCTCGTGGATGTGTCATGGGTGTATGCACACCCAGGTCACACCCTGACTCTGGATTTTGCTCTCAGTCACTTTGGGATAGGTATTTAAGCCTTGTGAGCCTTCTGTTTTGATATGAAAAATTGAATAATTTACATCAAAAATAATTAAAATAATGCTGCCAGAGGGCTTCAAACACTACATGGCACATAGTAAGGACTAGGAAGTTACCTGTAGTTAATAAGATAATGTCAATTTTTTGATCATGTTTCTTACGAGATTTACATGTGCCTGCAGTGTACCTTGTATGTTGTCATTTTGTAATTTTTCCCAGATTAATATTTTTGCTCACCTTAGATAACAAGTTTTCAAAGCACACACTATACACTATATATATTTTTGGCCATATAACTGCATAGTTAAATCATACTTCATGGCTAAGGAGTTGATCTCCATTTTGGCTATTATAGAACTGTAGGCTTTAAATCATAATAGAGATTTCAGACAGTTTTCCCTAATTCTTAATCTTTATTTTAAAAATTTGTATTTACCTGAACCTGATTTTTACTTTTCCTATTATATGTTTCTTCTGGAATGTAAATTCTTTCTCCAGTTCTTATGGAAGAATCCTTTAGAATGCCAGAGACTTATTATTTTGTGTAACTGTAGTTACTTATTAACGTACCTGCTGGAGCTACCATGGGTTACTAAATATTTCATTAATTATTATTGTGGTATACAGATGTTTAAAAACATCTTTTTTAATTTGTTATTTGTATAATTTTGTAATTCAATATGAAATGTTTATTTTCCAACTTACGTTAAGTAACAGGAAGCCTTTCTGCTGGATTTGCAATCAAGGAATTAGTACCAAGAGAGGCCATTCATAAAGAAGAATTATACCATCTGGTGATACTGGACAGAAAAGAAAGCCATGGCATCAAGGATTTTGACCTCAAGGAAGTCTGGGAAAATACGCATGAGGGTGCGAGCACATGGGGCTATGCTGCAAGAAATTATAAAGAAGTGCCTTTGACCCATAACAAAAGCCTCAGTCATAGAGAAGATCAAGATGATAAATCCTTAATTAATTTTCCTCAGAGTGTTTCTGTAAGAAGTATTAATATATATGAGTATTTCATGCATGACAAACCATTCATAAGAAGTTTGTTAAAAATGAAACATAGCATAAGCATTGCAGGAAACACATACAGAAATTGTTTGGAAAGTGGAGTTGGAGTAAGTTTGCAGGCCCACGTGGCTGCACTGCAGAGACTCCCAACTGAGGAGAAAATGTATGAATACAATCAAGTTGAGAAGTCAATCAACAATGGTTCCTCAGTTTCACCATTGCGAAGAATTCCTGCTAGTGTGAAAAACACTTTGTTACCTGCACAAGACAGGAGAGCACACACTGGAGAAAAATCCTACAACTGTGATGCCTGTGGGAAGGCTTTCAGCAAAAGCTCAAACCTCAGGAATCACAAGAGAATTCATTCTGGACAGAAACCTTACAAATGCAACGTGTGTGGCAAGGCCTTTAACCAGTGTTCTAATCTCACTACACATCAGAAAGTGCACACAGGAGAGAAACCATATAAATGTGATGTATGTGGCAAGGTCTTTAGTCGAAATTCACACCTTGCAAATCATCAGAGAATGCATACTGGAGAGAAACCTTACAAATGTCGGGAATGTGGTAAGGCCTTTATCCAACATTCACTCCTTTGGAGTCATGAGAAAATGCATAGTGGTGAGAAACCTTACAAATGTAGTGAATGCAGTAAAGCCTTTGCTGCGTTCAAGCCTTAACAAACATAAAAAAATCCATACTGGAGAGAAACCTTATATATGTGCTCAGTGTGGCAAAGCCTTTACCATGCGATCAAATCTTACTCAGCATGAGACAATCCATACTGGAGAGAAACCTTACAAATGTAATGAATGTGGCAAAGCTTTTACCCAATTTTCACGCCTTACTAGGCATCAGAAAATGCATACCGGAGAGAAACCACACAAATGTAGTGTGTGTGGAAAGGCTTTTATCGAACATTCACAACTTTGGGGTCATGAGAGAACTCATACTGGAGAGAAGCCACACAAATGTAATGTGTGTGGCAAGGGATTTACCCAACATTCAAGCCTTATAGCACATCAGAGAATTCATACAGGAGAAAAATCTTACAAATGTAAAAACTGTGATAAGACTTTTATCCAGTGTTCACAACTTTGGGGTCACGAGAGAACTCACACAGGAGAGAAACCTTACAAATGTAATGAGTGTGGCAAAGCTTTTACAATGCGTTCATATCTTACTCAACATAAAACAATCCATACAGGAGAGAAACCTTACAAATGTGTTCAGTGTGGCAAAGCTTATACCCAATTTGCAAGCCTTACTAGGCATCAGAAAATACATACTGAAAACAAACATACACCTAACTTATGTGGCAGTGATTTTATTCAAAGCTCAAGCTTTGTGGCTCATCAGAGAATTTATAGTAGGAAGAAACCTTAAAATGTAATGATTGACACAAAACTTGTGCAAGTATTCCAGCCTTACCGAGGCTAAGAGACTCCATCATGGAAAAAGAAGACATACAGATGACAGAAAGGTATGTAAAATGATGCGCAACATCACTAGCCATCGTGAACATTCAGACCAAATCCACTATGAGATGTCACCTCACACCTGTTGGAATAGCTGTCAACAAAAGACAGTTAATAACAAGTGTTGGTGAAGATGAGGAATTCTCATGCACTTTTAGTAGGACTGTAAATTGGTGCAACAACTATGGAAAACTATATAGTGGTACCTCAAAAAATTAAAAATAGGGGAGGAGGGTATAGCTCAGTAGTAGAGTGCATACTTAGCATGTAGCACAAGGTCCCAGGTTCAATACACAGTACCTCCACTAAAAATAACTAAATACCTAATTACCTACCCCCCAAATAAATAATTTTTAATTGAAAATAGAACTGCCCTATGGTTCAGCAGTTGCACATCTGGATATTTTCTTAATACTAATTTGAAAAAATACATGCACACCATTGTTCATTGTACCATTATTTTTAATAGCCAAGAGATGCAAGCTACCTAAATATCAACTGATAGATGAGTAGATAAAATGTGGGCGATATGTGTGTGTGTGTGTGTCTGTATGGGAAAAGCTTAATGTTGGCTTCCCAATTTTGAACATCCTTGAGTTATAACAGTTGTTACCATTAACTTACAGCCTATTATTAAAATACATTTAGAGGTGATACTAGAATATTTCCAAACTATAAGCCTTTTTGTGTATCTCCCACTTTCAGGTAGGATAGCATGAATGAACAGGATCTCAAAATTGATTCTGTCATTTCTGACCCTGGTGCTAGAATCAATACCAATATCAAAACTGGAAAATATTTTTGTTGAGATTCAGAGAGAGCTGAAGGGGAATAATAAGTTAGAAAGCTCAAAGGATGTTAGTATTTACCTTTCATTTGAAACAGCTGGGAGACTGGCAGTGGATTACATGAAATAGTATACTCTAGGGATGAATTAAGAAAATTGGTATTTGTCTCTTCACGTTATTCTTGACTACTTTGTCATTTAATATCATTAATAAGGGATATTTTTTATTTCTGCAAATGTTTTCTCTAACGTCTTTTCCCTTTACCTGTGTTTTTGAGGTGTGAATATGAAATTCAAAATTACCATTTTTTATTAAAATTATGGTGGCCATTTAATACAACTAGCTAGTAGTATTTGGGAGAAACTCCTGGGATTGTTACCATGGAAACAAGACGTAATAATGAAAAGGGTTTTGCCTCCTCACTGCTCTCTTAGTCGCACAGCAGCCGTGTTGCTGTGAGGACACTGAAGTGGAGGCTCACGGAGCTGGCGGGGCGAAGGACCCGTCACAGCCCACACTGCACCCTCTGCACTTCCTGTCAGGTGGGAATGATAAACCTACTTCTCACCTGTGTTCCGGGTGGCCTGTCACTCACAAAAGGAAACCATCCTACCTGACAAGATTATTACTTTGTGTTGGGAGCAGAATGGAGCATGTGGCAGGGAACCTTGAACTTTAAATTTTGTGGCTTAGAAAAACTTTATGAAAACAGCCTTTCACTGATGAAATGTTTAGCACGTGTGACCTAAAA